CAGACGATTCAGAATGCTCTTCAGTGGTGGTTCTTGTAGTTGGAGCAGTCCTTTCCTTCGAAACACCCCAATCGTATAGCAACATTCTTTCATCTCGCTGCAGCTGTTTCCACTGTCTACTCCCAATCAACGCATCATCTACTTTACCATGACCATCATCATCGTTGCCATCCTCATTATCAGAGCCCTCCTTCTCATCATCGTCACCATTTTGTTGCGGTTGTTGTCGTAACAGAAGCTTCTTCCTTAACGACAGTAGCTGTAGGTTGTTGTCGTCAATAGTAGTAGTAGTAGCAGCAGCAGCAGCAAAAGGAGGCGAACAACGAGGAGAACTATCAGCAAAACTGCCATTCAATAAACTTCTTGCGGGTGAGTTCACTAAGGAATCCATTCTTAAGGGGCTACAATCATTACTACTACTACTTTTAGTTGCTGTAGTAGTAGAAGTCGTTGTTGTAGTAGTAGCAGCAGTAGTTGTGGTAGTAACAGTGGTAGCAGTAGTAGCAGTAGTAGTAGCAATTGTTGTTGTTGTTGTAGTAGTTATAGTAGTAATTGCACTAGTCGGTATAGAATTAAAGGTAGAAGAACTCCTAATAACGTCACTAGTAGTAGTAGCAGCGGCAGCAGAAATAATAGTGGTAGTAGTAGCAGCAGTAGTTGTAGCAGTGCAAGTGGTGGCCAATTTATTAGCAGCAGCAGTAGTATTATAGGTAGTTGTTGAAATATGCAAATCCTTCAAAAGAAGAGACAGACTTTTATAGGCATTTTCAAAATTCAATTTAGTAGAATTTTTCAAGGATTTCTGTCTAGTAATACTAAGAGTAGTAGTAGTAGTAGTAGTAGTAGTAGTAGTAGTAGTAGTAGTAGTAGTAGTAGAAGTAGTAGCAACAGCAGAAGTCGTGATAATAGCAGCAGAAGCAGTAGTAGAAGCTGCAAAATTGCCAGTAGCAGAAGTAATAGTTAATGTTGCCACGGTAATAGTGGTAGTAGTTATGGCCATATAAGTCGTATTAAAGGTAGTAGTTTTTGTAGTATCAGAAGAAGCAATAGAAACGGCAGTACTATTAACGGTAGAAGTAGTAGCAGTAGAAGTAGTACAAGTAGTAGCAGCAGCAGTAGCTGATGTAGTCGTTGCAGTTGTTTCTGTTATAAGGTTGTTTGTATTCACGATTAGTTTACATTCTGTGAAGGAATGTCTTTGAAGAAATTCTACCAAGTTTTGGTCTTGAGGCTGGCGTATCGATTGCTGCAGTCGGTTTTGTCGTTGGTGTGGTTGCTTCAATTGCTGCTGCTGTCGTTCGAAATATTGATGCTGTTGCAGGTGTAGTTGTTGAGGAACTCTCTGATGTTGCTGTCTTTTAAAACGTTGAGATGGTTGTTGTTGATGCTGTTCTGACTGAGATTGTTGCTGATGCAGCTGTGGCCCTTGTGGTTGAGGCTGCCGCTGCTGTAGCTGAGACGGTTGCTCGTGAGAAAGTTGTTGCTGTTCCAGCTCTATATCCCCTCTCAGAGCCTTAATTGAAATTTCTAACCTGGATATAGACTTAACTAGCTCCAGGTAGTTCATCGGTTTGCTCTGCAACTTCTTCAAATACTCCATCCTGAGGTCGTACGTAATTCATTATTATAATTAATTAATTATTTTTTATTATTATATTATTTATAATTAATATATTATATTAATATTAATATTTTTTATTATTATATTATTTATAATTTATAAACTATACCATAATTAATAATAATTTTACCATAAGTAATAAGCTATTACAAATCATAATGACGTAAATTAAAATGATTCCCATTATAATAATAATAATAATAATAATAATAATAATAATAATGATGATGATGATGATGATGATGATGATGATGATGATGATGATAGTGGTGATGATGATGACGCTGATTTATCACCTTTCAGAAGTCATATCTTCAAGTAGTTTCATCTTCTCGAGCACTGATGTCTTTGATGTTACAATCGTTGATGATGACATCACTATCACTGATGTCGTTGCGACTGTTGTTGTTGTTGTTGTTGTTGTTGCGACTGATGTTGTTGTTGCGACTGATGTTGTTGTTGCGACTGATGTTGTTGTTGCAGCTGATGTTGTTGTTGCGACTGATGTTGTTGTTGTTGTTGATGCTGCTATTGATGACGGTCTTACTGCTATTGGTGTTCTTGCAGATGTTAATGTTGTAATTATTGTTGAATTGTCTTTGTTGGAGACGCTGCTATGGTCTTTTTCCTTGGTAATGTCATTGCTCTTGTTAATGTTATCACCCTTGTTAATGTTATTTCCCTTGTTAGCCTTATTATCGTTTTCGTCATCTCCATTTTTATAATTTCTATTACCGCCAAAACTTTTTACATTAACATAATCTTTATCACGTGATGCAACTGACGTCATATTACTGTTATTATTATTATTAATTTTATTATTATTATTAATATTATTATTATTATTAATTTTATTATTGTCATAGTTATTAACGTTTTTATTATCACCAATGCCGGTTAAATCGCTGACATGCTTGCTACAATAATCATTCCCGCTACTATTATTTTTATTATTATTGTTGTTGTTATTGTTGTTGATGTTATTGATGTTACTACTACTACTACTACTACTACTACTACTACTACTAATGTTACTGATCGAATTATACAGTACGCCCTTACCACTGGTTAAAGTATTATTATTATTATCATTATAATTATTATTATTATAATTATTATTATTATTATTATTATTATGATTCCGATTGTGGCGATAACGATGGTGGCGATAATCATTAACTACACCATCAATCAAAACGTCATCACTATCATTACTGCTCTCATTGTCGTCGTCAGCGGCGGTTGTCGTAGGAGCCGCCCTGCTAGCTGTAGTAACTGAAGCAGCAGTAGCAGCGGCTGGAGTGGCAGCAGAAGCTGAAGCAATAGCAGCAGCTGAAACAGTAGCAGCAGAAGTAGTAGCAGCTTTGGAATCAGCTGAAATGCTTTTTGCTATGCTCTTGCTGTTGTTGTTATTAATAGCATTATGATAGTTGTCATTATTATTATTATTATTATTATTATTGATTTTGTTTTTTATCTTTCGTCTCTTCTTCTTAGAAGGTC